GGTTGCTATCTGATCATAACCTTTTTCTGCTGCAAAATGTAAAGGAGTCCAATTTGTGTGATCTAGAGCATTAACTTCTGCCCCTTTTTTTAAGAGCAATTCAACCACCTCCAAATGATCATGGTCTACTGCATGAGGTGTAGTACTTTTAACTGTTTTAGCATTAATGTCTGCTCCTTTATTAAGCAAAGATTTAGCAACTTCTAAATTACCATCATATGTTGCACAATGTAGAGGAGTCCACCTTCTGTTATCTAGAGCATTAACATCTACTCCATTTTTAACCAAGAAATTCATTATTTCCAAGTGATTATGCTCTGCGGCCAAATGTAGAGCTCTTCTACCATCATCCATCTTTGCATTTATATTTGCTCCTTTTGCAATTAAGCTCTCTACTATTTTNTTGTTAATGTTTGCTCCAAAAAAATCACTCACCTCGAAATGACTTTGCTGAATTGCTAGATGCAAAGGTGTAAAACCTTCGTTTTTTTTAGCATTAACATTGGCTTTTTTCTCTATTAGTAGCTTCACTACTTCTAAGTGACCATTCTGAGATCCTATATGTAAAGCTGTGGAATTATCGTGGCCTTTAGCATTAACATCAATTCCCCTTACTAGAAAAAGAGACTTAACTACTCCAAAGTGATTACGTTCTGCTGCTAAATGCAGAGGTGTAAGATTCTCATAATCCTTAGCATTAACATTAGATTTTGCTTTTATTAAAATGTCTACTAACTCTAAAAAGCCATTTTGAGACGCTAAATGTAGAGGTGTAATCTTATCACCTGTTTTTGTATTAACGTTTGCTCCCGCTTCAAGCAGAGCCTTAACTATATCTAATCTACCAGTTTGTGTTCCCTGATGTAATGCTGTAATGTTCGCATCAACTTTATGATTACCTACTCCTAAAGATTCAGCATTAATATCAGACCCATGTGAAACAAGAGCTTTAACTACCTCGAGATTACCATTTTGTACTGCAGAATGCAAAGGTCTTGCTCGATCATTATTTACAGCAT